AGGAGAGGACTAGATAGAGATAAAACGACTGGAGGAGAGGAGAGGAGTTTTAATGAAATTGATAAGCTTGATGGTACATGTCTTTCGATGTGACAGCATGTGTGGTATAGGTCATTTGATTTTTCCTGTGACAGTTGGGATTCAGTTTGGCTGCTCCATCTGGTACGGACCACAGTGTCATATTGAATTGTGTTTCCATCAGTATGTGTGCGTATAGTCTGGCGATTGTTTCTTTTTCGTTTACTTGTTCAATCCATGGAATGTAGATAAACAGGAATGGTAGGTCCCGTTCGGGAATGTATGCGACTGAGCCTGATGTTGACGCGGATTCTGTGAAAGAGTATTGCCATCCTCCCGAGAATTTGCCGTTTGGTGCGTCTGTGGTTTGTGCTAGTGGGAGGTAGACTAGAGTGTTTGCGTCGTATCGTGGAATTGTTTGTTTAAGTTTTGGCCATGGTGGAGTATTAAATTTGAAATTGTATTGTATTGTTTGTCCTCCTTGGAATGTCTTTGTTTCGTCTAGTGCTAATAATCCTTCGTCGGTTGTTTTTGTCCAGTATGTGTTGGATGGTATTTTCACAGCTTGATTCTGCATGGTTGACATGTCTATGGCATTTGGTGATGTGATTTTAGTGAGTATTCCTAGGTTGTCTTGCGAGAAGTATGCGTATGGTGTAGTGTTGAGCGCTGGGACATCCTGTTGCGTTGTACCTGTGAGACTATGTTGTAGAGGAACAAAGTGACTAAAGCGGATGTGACCAGAATCATAGTGGCAGTAGTCAAAGGAGTTCTGGATAGAGTCGTATGGATCCCTGTAAGCAGTTCCGTCATTATTGATCGCCCAAAACTCGAAAAATTGATACGGTATGCAGGTGATGTAGAATTGGGTGATGGCTGTGTCTGCTGGTTTGTATTGTGCAATTGTGAGGTGTTGTTTTCTTGTGAGTGTAATATCGAATTTGTAGTAGTGTATTTTGAACAAGTTGTGGACGTGTTGTAGAGCTCCTGGGTTAGCTGATGTTCCGCCTTTGCCATCCTCAGGCATATCAGTATCAAGAGCTGGACGTTTAGCCATTGGTTCTTGTAGGTGTTCTCCAGTGTCAAGGACGATTTTCGGTTGTTCGGGGAGTGGAATAACTGGTGCTTTTGGTGTTGCTTCCCGTTGTGTTGTCTTCGTGGGAAGTTTTTTTCGACTGAGTTGTTTTCGTTTTTCTTGTGCTTTATATATTTGGGATATGAAGTATTCCCTCTCTTCCAAGTCAGGTAGTGGTGCTCTAGGTTGGCCTGTGTCTAGGTTGTAGAAGTGTTGGTAGTAGTCGTTCGCGAGTTCTATAAATGTTCGTTCTCTATTTTGTATGTTCAGTGCGTTCTGGACCATGGTCCATATGAAGTAGACATCTTTCAATTTGTTTAGGGTTGGTAGGTAGTGTTCGTTGTTTAGTAGATGCTCTATGTCGTTGTCTACCGCAAATAGTGGTATTGGGTTTCCCGTGAACTTATTGCGTATAATGTTGAACCAGAACTTTTGTATGTATTGCGTAAAGTTCGCTTTCTCTTTGTCCTCTAGGGCGTCAAACCAGTTGCGCAGAGTCACGGGCATCCCCTAGGTGGTTTAAGAGCAGACTGAGGTATTGTATAACGAAACATTTATTTATGGTAAAACCAGTTTAAATACCATGCCTTAAAATGACAGGCACACATCATACAAGGTGGCTCAGGTAGAAGAGCCGAAGGAATGGGAACTGTAAAATGGTGGTAAAAACATCGCGCCTTGATGGCCTTCGCGTCTTCGGATTGTAAATATTGACAGATATCCGTATTGGTTGAGATGAGAACGGGTAGGCGTCTTAGTCGGGCATCGGGTTGATGTTTGACGTGAATGTCGAATTGGCGCCCTCCTAGTAGCTCCTTGAAGTCATTGACGGTCAATGGTGTAATTCGCGGTTCTTCCATAAGAGCCACAGCTTTGTTGAGTAAGTTCATTAAGTAGAACTGGCTGTGGTCCCCACTGCGTTGTACTGTTCCGTAGATGTAATTCTCCGTGAGGAGATTTAACATCAAGGATTTGCCTATGAGAGGAGGAATGAGAGGAGAATTACAATTTACCTGTAGTAGTTGGCCCTTGTATAACAAAGGCATTGATCCGTTGTTCTTTTTTATTCATGATGTTGGTTACTTGAGTGAGGAAGCGATTTTTGTCAATGTGGTTGACTGCCAATAGTTGGTCTAGCCATTGGCAACCGGCTGTTGTGGATGTTGGTTTCTGACACGTCCTGTTGTGGTTGTTCCTTGCAATGTATTCGTGTAGGCTGGTAGTCTCCTGGTCTTTTCGAAGGCGTTCGACGTATGCTTCACAGGTTAGTTCGGCCGTTTCTTTCCAGGACGGACCATGTTCGGCATATAGGTTGAGGCGATCGTCGTAACTCAAGGCGTCTTTGAGTTCGGCCAAGGTTCGCGCGTCGTATGTCTCAACTAGTTCCCTAATCAAGTCCACTCTGGCCTTTCGCTTGAGATTGGTGAACTTTTGCCCTTGCGCTCTATCATTTCGCAGCAGCGTTGCACAATCTTGTTCCGCTCGTGTTGTTGAACGAGCGTCAGTTGCGAGGTGTTGGAGTTCCCCGCCAATGCAATAAATGTAATTTCTGCCATGTCTGACCAGGTAAGCTGCGAATTTCTCCCAGTTGATAACTGGTTGGCATGTGGAGAATATGGACATCGATTGGTTGGTATCCAGGTTGCCTGCCTGGATGATTCGGGTGATCGTTCTGCGTTTGTTGTTCGGGTGGCACTTGAACACGAAGTGGTAGTGATCCCCGTGGTCGGCCCATAACACGTTGATTCGAGTGTGGATTGTGAAGTTAGGTGAGGGACCTCTGTAGATAAAAGTCCATAGTTTATCCGGACCTGTGTTGTCCGAGGTGGTTGAGGATGAATCATCTTCTTGAAATAAGCGTTTCCTAAACAAAGGTCAGTAGACAAAGACATATTTACCTGGGTATTGTTTGTTGGTCACGATTGTACCATGTGGGTGCATATTGTTTTCGTGGAGTGGCTGGCGGTGACCAATCCTGTCCGAACGCGTTGGCGATGCGTTCGTCCATCCGTTGGGCAGAGCAGGGTGGTGAATCATCCTCGAACAGATCCGGACTTGGAATTTCTGATGGATGTGGTAGTACGTTGGGCGTTGAGTAAGACGGCGTAGGTAAGATCACTGTGTTGTCAAACACAGGCGACGACATTGTCGGAATGACCGGAGAGGAGTGTGCAGGAGGTTTTATACCTCCTTACAAACCAATGGAATTTCTCCTCTCCTCTCCTCCAATGAGAATAATCCCTCTCTAGTCCTCTCCACTCCTTCTCCCCGCCCTCCAGTCCCATTGGAGTGGAGGGCTATATTCACACCGCAGTTATCAACTGGGAGAAATTCGCAGCTTACCTGGTCAGACATGGCAGAAATTGCATTTATTGCATTGGCGGGGAACTCCAACACCTCGCAACTGACGCTCGTTCAACAACACGAGCGGAACAAGATTGTGCAACGCTGCTGCGAAATGATAGAGCGCAAGGGCAAAAGTT